ACACACACACACACACACCTGTAAATGTAGCTCACTCTTGAGACTTCCAGCAAACACTTCTTTCTCTCAGCCTTCATATCGTAAACTCTGTGGAGGCGAGTACTCTCGGGCCCCTTTAGCGGTTCGTGTCAGTAAAAGTGAATGAAGAGACAACTGAGTCACCGCTCGGTTAACGGGGGGCCCAGAATGAGTCGGCTGAAAAGAGACGCGACGGGGAGCGGGGGATGTCTCTGTTCTGTGAGACACATTTTGCCCCGGAGTACAGTCGGGAGAGCGGCTACTCACATTCAATTAGAAAGGATAGGTTTGAAATGAGCAAGACACCAATCTGGCTGAGTAATCCAAATAAGCTTGTTAAAAGAAGAATGCTCGAGAGGAAAGAGCGCTCTGCCAGGAATTTGTTTCAGAGGAGAGCGTGCCCGTTTGCCTTGAATGCAGCCTCACACGTTGGATTTGTCGCATCCCGCTGTTCGATTGTGAAATAAATTTCACGTCGCGGCATCATCGCCCTCTCTCCCCTTTCTGTGTCTCCCTCTCTCTCTCTGCCTGCGCCGTGTCCCGCAGATGATGGCCAAGCCCAGCGAGTCGCCCGTGGGCCGTCAGCACCAGAGCCACCCCGAGGAGACAGAGGAGGAGCTGAGGGAGCACCAGGACGGAGGAGGCCTGCCGCACGGGGTCACCATCAAGCAGGAGCCCCCCGACCCCCAGGAGCTGCAGGAGGAGGTGCTGCAGCAGCAGCACAGGGAGAGGGAGAGGCAGGCTGAGCAGGAGCTCCTCTTCAGACAGGTAAAAGATGAGGAGTTAACTTTTAGAGCACCTGATTGGCTTAGATAGGTTGTAGGTGTTCCTGGGGAAGTCCTGGAGTGTGGCGGGGGGTGGTTTGAAAGAAATGGCACAGCGTTCATGAGATTAAGAAGCAAAAGGGACGATCAAAGCCAGATTATTTGTTTTGGCTGCCACCTTTTGGCCACAAGTTGCGCTTGCAGTAAAAAAAAAGCATCAAAGAGTTTTATTATCTAAACATTTTCCAGAATTCCCATCCTTTATTTTTCATTTTTGTGCGTGCGAGCAGCAGGCCCTGCTGTTGGAGCAGCAGCGGATTCACCAACTGAGAAACTACCAGGCCTCCATGGAAGCTGCCGGCCTCTCTATCTCCTTCCCGGGACACCGCCCCCTGTCCAGGGCCCAGTCATCTCCGGCCTCCGCTTCCTCCTTCCCGATCAGCGTCCCCACGCCCGATCCTCCAGTCAAGCCTCGCTTTACCACAGGTCAGCATCGCCCTCCTCTCCTCCCACTGAAGCATCACGTACTGTGTGCGTGCTCGTTTGCTTACACGTTAACTCAAATCTACAATCACTGTAAAGCAACCAGTAGGATTCATCGGCAGTTTAGCCGCCTCCCTGTGAGTTTAATTTCCATCTTAATGCACTCGGGACTGGAAAGAAAAAAAATCACCCAGAAATCAGGTGAATTGGCCAGAAAGCGCTGGGCTAGGTCCAGCCTCCATCTGGTAGCAGAAATAGACGAGCTGGATCAGTGAATCTTGCCAAAATCTTTGTCTCTCCCACTCTGTTGTTTCACTCGTTGAGGAGAAACCTCTTTTTTTTTCTTTTTTTTTAATCTCCTCCCAGCGTGTCTTTTAGGAAGCGGACTTTTGTGACAGTTCTTGCATGCGAGCACCACAGCTGAAGATATTTTTAGTTTGGCCTACTTTGCTCCGATTCAGTTCCAAACTACAGAAAAATGTGCGGGAAAAGCACAGCTCAACAGCGAATATCAAACAAGGATCTGATGCCTCAGCTTTTCAAAATAAAAGAGTAAGGCGTTCATTTAGACAGCTATTGTGTAGATTAACAAAAATGAAGGTGGTATTTCACAATCAGTGTGTACGAGCATTTGAACGAGTGTAGTGAATGTTTCCATGTGTTTCCAAGGCCTCGTGTATGACTCCCTGATGCAGAAGCATCAGTGCATGTGCGGCAACACCAACAGCCACCCGGAGCATGCGGGACGCATTCAGAGCATCTGGTCCCGACTGCAAGAGACTGGACTCAGAGCTCAGTGTGAGGTAGGCTTGCAAAAGATGTAGATATCCAGCATCCACCAGCCATCGCGCAAAGTAGTGAACCGCTTATGTGAGCTGAATCCATCTGTGTGTCTGTCTGTGTGTAGTGCATCCGTGGGAGGAAGGCCACTCTGGAAGAGCTGCAGACAGTTCACTCTGAAGCCCACGTCCTGCTGTATGGAACCAACCCACTCCGACAGAAACTTGATTGTAAGCCTTTACACACACACACACACACACACACACACACACACACATTCAGCTGCTGATAGTGTCAAATTGAATCTTTGTTTCCTGCGACAGGTTCAATCACTCCTATGTTTGTTCGGCTCCCGTGTGGAGGGGTGGGGGTAAGTAATGCTTGTTTGCTTTGTTTAAAAGGGGCTAAAACAGCTCACACTTCCTGCACTATTCAACATCGGTTTCCAAGCCAGTTTATCAACATGAGACTCGGTTTTCTGGTCTTAGGTGGACAGCGACACCATTTGGAACGAGGTCCACTCCTCCAGCGCGGCTCGCCTCGCCGTCGGCTCGGTGGTAGAGCTTGTTTTTAAAGTTGCTACTGGAGAGCTAAAGGTAACCTTGTCACCTGTCTGGTGCTTCTTGCTCTGTTTCCCACTGCGATGCAGCAAAGTTAATGTGTTTTATGTGCTGCAGTTCTGCCAGTCTTTGAAAATTCAGAGTGAAGCCCAAAGTTGCCACTTAAAATTTAAGATACCCCCTTTCATTCGTTCTGCATCACCCAGCCAGAGCAGGCTGAGCTTGGTATTTCCAATGTCCTTTTCTTCAGCTTTTTCCAGTTCCACTTGGGAGATACGACAATGCTCAAAGGCCAAATGAGATATATATAACCCCCCCAGTGACTTCAGGATCTGCCCCGGGGTCTCCTCCCAGCTGTGGGTACCCAGAAAGCTTCTGAAGGGAGGCACCTGGAGACATTTTAATGAGACACCTGCAACACCTCAGTGGGCTCTTGATGAGAAGGAGCAGGGTCTCTACTCAGAGAGCTGCTTCTTCTTCTCGATGTCTTGGCAACCACATGCTGCTACTGAAACATGTGGTTGAAGTAGCAACATGTGTCTGTTGCTGTCGCTAGGTGAAGTCCAAAACATCTTTGTGATTGCTTTGGTCACTAAAAGATTGGCACAATCTCTTGAAGTTTGTCAGCTTGTCTCCAATCATTCACAAACTGGTGAGTCAGCAGTAGTGAAACTTTAATCAGTGCAGTTCACACTGAAAATCATTTGCCTTCAAAGTAAACGCGTCTCTGCTACCACCAACACGCTTCAATAGGTACAACTCCCCATGCACAGTTGGCCAGTGGTTGCAGACAACTCGGTGTCTATGGTAAATGGCCTGCATCTGTACAGCGCTTTTCTAGTCCATAGGACCCCAAAGCGCTTCACACTACATTCAGTCACACACACATTCACACACAGGTGATGGCAGCTACATTGTAGCCACAGCTGCCCTGGGGCGCACTGACAGAGGCGAGGCTGCCGGACACAGGCGCCACCGGGCCCTCTGACCACCACCAGTAGGCAAACATGGGGTTGGTATCTTGCCCAAGGATATTTGGCATGCAGCCAGGAGGCAGCCTGGGATCGAACCACCGACCTTCTGATTAGTGGCTGACCTGCTCTGCCACCTGAGCTACAGCCACCCCAGAAGGGATGCTCTACCTGAGAGCATCACTCACCTGAAATGAGATCAGGCAAAAGTTTAAGCAAGAAGTTTCTAGAAAAAATAGAGCACGCAGCTTAATTCGTATTGGCTGCTTCACCTTTATCAATAACTGCAGAGTAGTTTACCTGCAGTCCCCATGTTTCACAGCTCACTGAGCTCAGCTCAGTTTTGTTTATAAACCACCAAATCACAACAACGGCCACCTTGAGGCGCTTTATATTATAAGGACTCTACAATAATTGCAGAAATGTCCTATGAACAAGTACTTGGCAACAGTGGGAAGGAAAAACTCCCTTTTTTTAAAAGGAAGAAGCCTCTGGCATAGCTTCTGTGGAAGAGAACCAGGATTAATAATAACTCCTGATTAAGCGCTCAGTGCATCGTGGGAAGCCCCAAACACAAACGGCCATCATTGCTTGTTTTAACCCAAAACTTGTTGCAGCCTTATTGCAGTTATTAAACCCTCCGTTCACTTTGTATTGCTGTGATTTAATGTTTGTCACACTCTCAGTGTTTCATTTGATTCGTGTGTAATAGTTTCCCACTTAAAGGCTAAGTTATGATGTTTTTTAATGGTGGTTAGGATCACAGAGGAAACAGTGATCAGTGCTAACAGACTCCTGTCGCTCCTGCCTCTTCTCTTTCCAGAATGGTTTCGCTGTGGTCCGCCCTCCTGGACACCATGCGGAGGAAAGCACTCCCATGTAAGGCCAAAGCCGTCACCGCACTGACTTGGAGACACTTAATCTGCACGTATACAAAAACCAGAGCTGGAGCGGGCTCGTCTGGAATAGAAATTACATAAACCATCGAGTTTATTTGCACATAAAATCCTGAGAGCCTTTATTCTGCCAGCTTTCTCGGGCCCTGCTTTATTTATTTTCCATATTCTCCTCAAAAAGTGTTTAAATTGTCCCATTACAAAAATGAAAATGGAGCTCTGGCAAAGATATTCATAACAAACAGGAGCTCTTGCCCTCCGTCTGCTGCTGTTTCAGGGGTTTCTGCTACTTCAACTCTGTGGCCATCGCAGCCAAACTGCTGCAGCAGAGACTGAATGTCAACAAGATCCTCATTGTGGACTGGGTGAGTCACATGATCCTCTGTCATGTGACGCTAATCTGAAGATGCAGATTTTTCTCTTTTTTTAAGACCAGTTAGATTTATTTTCTTCTTCTACTCTCAGGATGTTCATCATGGCAACGGCACCCAGCAAGCCTTCTACGATGACCCCAACGTCCTTTACATCTCTGTTCATCGCTACGACGACGGCAACTTCTTCCCTGGAAGCGGAGCACCTGATGAGGTGAGTGTGTGACCTGATCAGAATTTTCCCACGTTTTACTTTTTAGTGGCCACTTCATTAGGCACACCTGTGCAGCTGCTTGTTAATGATATGTAACCAGCCAATCACATGGCAGCAGCTCGGTGCATTCAGGCATGTGGACATGGTCAAAACAACCTGCTGAAGTTCAAAGCCAGATCAGAATGGGTGATTTAAGTGACTTTGAACGTGGCTGGACTCCTGATCTGCTGGGATTTTGCAGCCACGTGATTGGCTGATTAGATAGTTGCCTCAATAAACAGTTGACCTGGTGGCCAGGACACGCATATTAAATATGGCCAGCTTCACATAACAAGATAAAATTGTGTATAATTTAGCCCTGTCAGCTTCACGCTGTGTTTTATGGCTCAGTGTGATGAAGAAAAGTTGCCTTAAAGGGAGACGAGCTAAAACGAGTTGTTCCACACAGCGATTGAACTGAGGAGTATAAAATAAATAAAGATCATTTTAAACATGAACTCGAGTCCAAGAATAAAAACCGTGGCGCTGCAAAGGATAATGATAATTGGTCCACTTCAGCTTTTTGACAGTTTTTAGTTTGGTTGCCAGTTTTTTCAGTCCACGCTTCTTGAAGCTGGTTGCACTCCAAGTTTATGTTATCCGTCGGCTCCGGGTGTATCTTGTTCGTTTCCAGTTGAACTCTCTCCAAGGATCACTTTATTAATGCTCTGTTCTAATCGTAGTTTTTTTTTAAAGACATCTTGATCAAAAGGCAAGAAATAATCTGAAGTAGGGAGAAGCATCCTGCAATCACCCAAAAGAAGCTAAAAAGCTTAAAAAAAAGGACATTTTCCTTTTTATTTGTGTCGTACACTCACTTGAAGTTTGTGCTCCTCTCCACAGGTGGGCAGTGGTCCTGGAGTCGGGTTCAACGTTAACGTTGCCTTCACCGGAGGTCTCGACCCGCCCATGGGAGATGCAGAATACCTGGCTGCCTTCAGGTACCAGATAAACCTTCAGCACATGTGAGGGGTCGGTTTAACTTTTGACGACAAACCTCGGAGTTAAGCGCCCTGCCTTTACAGCCCTGCTCCCAAATAAAGTTTTCCCTTAAAGGGAGGGCATATATAATGGCTTCCATTTGTTTGTTGGCCTTCAGACTTCACAACAATATGCGGGGCCTTGAGTATTTGACTTTGATCGTCATTGTTAGCAAGTTCAAAATTGACCTTAAAAACTGTTCAAGAAACCATCTCGATTAATCTTCATCATATGAAAGAGCGTGGAGAGAGCTCTGTGACAAACTTCTTACTGTTTCAGGCTCTGCTCTAAGCATGTGGGCAAAGATAAGAAAATACACAATGAAAGGTGAAATGGTCGGACGTCAGCGTGTTGTAATAAAAGCATCACCAAGTTTTCTTCCAGCTCTCTGAGAGCTCCTGTTCCTTTGTCATGATACCAAATGTTTCTTCAGGTGGATGTTTCTGTTTGGACGGCCATAACTAATCACATGATACTTTCTTAATGGATGAAACTGGATGAAACGGATATATTCAGCTTTTTATCTCATGAAACAAATAAAAGTAACTGAGAAGCCGGAGCTGTGTGACGCTCATTAATAATTTGCCGAACTTTAATGAAGCAACTGTTTGTCATGAAATCAATAATGACTGAAGCTTGCTTCTCCTTTGTGCGTCGCCTTTGTGCAGATGATGTTGAGATGTTGGCTGATGCACTGTTTAATCTTTGAACCCCGCCCTTCCACTCGCAGGTCAGTGGTGATGCCGATAGCCAACGAGTTTGCTCCAGACATCGTGTTGGTCTCTTCTGGCTTCGACGCCGTCGAGGGACACCCTCCCCCGCTGGGCGGCTACACTCTGACATCCAAATGTGAGTGGGAGATTATCGGTAGTGTTTCTTATCTCGCGCTCCAGCCGCTCCACACGCACGCACGCTGCTGACCGAGCTTTGAAGCCGAGTCTAACAGAGCGCTAAAATGTTAACGAACTTCAGCAGCTGTGGAAAGCATTCAGATACATTTAAGTGCATTCACCTCCTTCCTGTAAACTCTCTTCAGGTTTCGGTTATCTGACAAGGCAGCTGATGACCCTCGCCGGAGGCCGTGTGGTCCTGGCTCTAGAGGGAGGTCACGACCTCACCGCCATCTGTGATGCCTCCGAGGCCTGCGTGGCCGCCCTGCTCGGCCAGGAGGTAAGGAGGTCACTCTGAAAGCACGCAAGGCTGGAATCCTAATAAAAGGACGTCTCAAAGGGTCGACGTTAGAAACAAAGACCGGTCGAAGCAGGACTCGGACCACGCTCCTTTGTTCCTGCTCATCTTACACATGATAACTGACTGGAAGTGGACATGAGAAGAAATGGAGAAGTTAGTGATTAAGTAAATCACATCTCGGCTCTGTATGTTCTCAAAACGTATGCAAGTTTTAGCCAGTAAGAAGAAGTTTGGCTTAAAGGGGTGGAGCTAAAATAGCCAGTTTTAATAGCGTGAGTCGACTCCATTTTACTCTCCAGCCGTAAAGACTAAAGTCGTCACAAAACCGGGCATGCAGCGTGGACACACAACAATTCAGGTTAATTGTATTTATATAGCATCAAATCCCAACAGCAGATTGCCTCAAGGCACGTTGTGCTGTAAGGTAAAGAGCCTATAGTAATATGAGTAAGCGCTTTGGTGACAGTGGGGATGAAAAACATCCTTTTAACAGGAAGAAACCTCGAAAATAACCAGGCTCAAAGAGGGATGAGTGCGATGACTCAAGAAGAAAGTCACCTGGAACAGCGTTTCCCAACCACTGTACTGCGAGAAATGATCAGGTGTGCCGTGGAAGATTATCTGCTTCCACCTGATCAGTAATGACAGGTGTGAGTAACGGGCAGAACAATTACAGTCTCTTCCACTAGAGGGCAGTACAACTACCTGCTCTAATTAAATAGGTTGCCGAGTGCCAGTGAAACAGAAGACGAAGAAGAAATGACACAATAGTCATGCTGTGAGTGAGGCAGCGCAGTACGTAATAGCAATCGATAAATATTTGAAACGACAAAGTAGTCGTAGTGCCCCGAGGGGGAGTCGTAGAGCAGTGTTCAAAAGAAAGCAAAAAAGCTAACAGAGCCTGGTGCCCAGAGAAAAATGATCAATATGCTTTTTGTGAAATTTGTTTGGTGGGATTTTTCTCATGTGGAATATGTGGAATATGTGGAATATGTGGAATATGTGGAATATGTGGAATATGTGGAACGGCTCGGAAAGGTGGGGAAACACTGACAGAACTTTCAAATGTCACCACAGGTTCATCAATGAGGCCGGGCAGCAATATTTTACTGGTTCATTTCTTTCTGGTTGTTTTCTTAAATAATTATTGTTATTTATTAGATTTTTTTTAGATATTTATTGTATTTATATTATTTATTTATAAAATAGTCTTTATATTATTATTGTATTTATTTGTTGATCCACACTTAAACTCCGGGGCAGTCGATAGACGTCGCTGTCCTGGAGCGGCTGAGATTCATTAAAAAAGGCTGGCAGGTCATCCTGTTGAAGCTGTTGCACGCTCATGTTCGTGTTTTCTCTGTGTTTTCGTCCCATGCAGCTGGACCCACTGCCCAAGGCTGTCCTCGAGCAGAGGCCAAACCCCAACGCTGTTCGCTCTCTGGAGAAAGTCTTGGAGACTCACAGTGAGTTGACCGTTGCAGGAGCACCGACTCATAACACCGATACCCACAGGGACAGAGTTTATTAGAAACCTAATCTGTATCTGTAGCTTCATAAACAATCCAAAGGGTTTAGCCTTCATGGAAGTAGTACGTGAAAGGCAAGCTGAGTAACACTCAACATGTCATTTCTCTGTGACAAAATAAAGTCTGCAACATTTTTATTAGAGAATATCTATTTTTACTTTTTAAGATTCTCTCTGGTTCATTTTCGTGTGAGCTTCATATATTTAAGGTCAGCCCTCTTAATGCTTTACTTTTATTCACTTCCTCTGCGTTTGTTGTTTTTTCTCCCTCCTGTCTTTTATCTGCTCCGTCTTCTCAGGTAAGTACTGGCGCTCGGTGCAGCGCTACTCGCCGCGGCTGGGGCTTTCTTTGCTGGAAGCCAAACGAGGAGACTCGGAGGAGGCTGAGGCCGTCAGCGCCATGGCCTCTCTCTCTGTGGCCAACTCTAACGCCATGGAGCAAAGGTAAGAATCCAAAACCACAAGTAAACAGTGTTAAGAGCAATAGTCTTGACTTAAGAGTAGTTATACACTTTATATAACCTTTAAACCCGGCAACAGTAAAGTCACTACTTTCTGTCGTTGACATCAAGTCTGCAGTCGGAGTAAAGTGTTATTAAATATATTGAATCCTGATGGAAACCTCCAATAAAACCTCCAAATAACTCAAAGATTCATTGGTTTACTGAACAACTTCTGCATATACTGATCAACTGCACGTATATTTTGTAAATATACTCCCTGGACTATATTTACAACTTTAAAGCCTTTAAAGAGATAACATAGATGAAATAATAGCGACTTTGTTTGTCTTTAGATAGGGTCAAAGGTCATTTGTAAAGCAACCTAAACAAAGAGCCAACAAGAACATTTTCTACTTCTTGTACCGTAGTGGATCCACCTCACCCTGTCCCCCACATCCTCCTCCGTCACACCAACCAACATGTGCTCCTTTACTACATCCATGAATCTTCTCTGTTCTGAACATCTAAGCATCAACTCAGCTTCCTGTGTTTTTGTCAGGGGCATCATCTCCAGACTACAGCAGCCCTCACTAGCATCTTGTAAATCTGCCCTTTCACTCTTGCTAAGGTCTTAAATTAATGTCATTTAATATTTAAATAACTGACTTCAGGATGCTAAAATGGCTGAAATCATCTGCATAAAAGAAGAAAAAAAGAATATAAGGTGAAAGCAGAGAGGAACTTTTTCCTGATGCTACCCTTTGTTTGAATGGCTTGAAGGAGAGATTTAGATGCATGGGTGTAGATTTACCTGCTAACAAGTGCTGAGTAACGTCCTGTTAGTGCAATTACAAGAAGCAATGTGTGCTCTTTGTCAGAAAATAGCATTAAATGTGATCCAAAAGGCACAAACACAGTCCAGAGGTCCAGTTTACAAAGTTAAATTAGCTGACGTACCATGCAGCGAACAGCCGCCACATCGACCACTTCAGGTCAGAGACGCGATCAATCATGCAAACTTTAAAGGCCTTTACACACCAGATGTGTAAAGTTTATGACCTATTTTTAATGTAGCCGTACACACCAAACAAAGCTCAAAACGCACTCGTACTGAATATACAATGAATATACAATCATATAGTAAAATAATACTATTTTAATAATAGTTGTAGGAATACTAATACTATTTAATATCAATCAATATTAACTATCAGACGCACAGTTGGACATTGTTTTGGGTCAACTGGCTCTGAGTTCAAACTGCTTCACTGACATCATGAAATATACGTGAAAGCGATCGTGACACAACTTTCACTGTAAAACATCAGGACCTGCTCATCGTTGCTTGATGTTGACTCAGTTCTTTTTCACAGTGCAATCTTTGAGGACGAATGTCAGTGTGTGTACATACGTTACACAACAAATTTGCATCCAAACATTTGGAATTTCGTGGGTTTTTTGAGGGAGTTGGGGGACAGTTTGCAATGTGCTTGGTGTGTCATGGCCTTTAGTCTTAAAAACCTTTAAATGCCTCTATATCAGTAAAAAAAGACCCTGTGTGTCGGTGTCAGGAAATAGCAAATAAGCTATCGAGACCAAAACGGTTTTCGTTGTCAGCTGCCAACATGTTTTTTCTGCTTTAGAGTTGTAGAGTTATTTTAACATGAGAGTCGATGGGGATTGACTCACTTTTGGAGCAAACCCCAAGTGGCCGCTAGAAGAATTGCAGTTTTCTTTCCACACTGGATTCCCATTCTTTCAGTCCTCGATGGTGCTGGTAAAGTTGAGGAGGCATTTTGTTAATGACAGCTTGAGGTCTAGTATTAATATTTCTGTGTTATATCTCCTCAGCAGGTCTGAGGAGGAGCCCATGGAAGAGGAGGAGCCGCTGTAGTGGACGAAAACGTGAGGGTGTCACCGCGTTACCATTGACCTCTCCGGAGAACGCCTCTTTGAGCAGCAAAGAGTCTCGACTGATCCCTTCATTTAGTCCCCAATAACCCCACTCACCACGTCAGTCACCTTGATTGGCGGCCCCTCGGCCAAAAAAAACGAGGGAGAGGGGGTGGGCTCAGCCTCAAGAGTAGGGAGCCAATCAGAAGACAGAGGAGGACTGAACTGGAAAAAACTTATTTAAACATACCGGCAAGCGCTCGCTCAGAGACGTTTTATCTGTCAGTCTTCGCACCCCCATGTTAGCCCTCGGCGGCTGATCAAGTGATCACGGCAGCGGGCGAGCGTATTTGGAGCGGAGCGATCGGGAGAAGGCAGGGGCGAGATCAGATCTCGTCACCGAAAGGTGCGATGACACTTCTGTGCAGAAAATACGGTGCTTTACGCGGCTGCCCTCTGACCACATCCAGTACGGACACGGGGACAGCAGACGTCCCCAGCTGTCAAGAGGCAAGCGCGGGGATTTGTTTTCTTTTTTTCTTGACTATTTTCCCTCCCTAAAGAAATGGGGGGAGGGGCATCATGGCAACCGAGAAGATAATTTTACTAAATGTGTTCACTGTGGACTTTGGTTGGGCCGAAGTTTGAGTAGGCTTTTACAAAGATTTTAACGGTGAGACTCCGTCGCCTCGCCGAACCAGCCTGTTGTCGAAGGTTGACGAGTTAGAGGAGTGCCTTGGTGAGGGTCCGCTGGATTTCACGATTGTTCAGGAAAAGATTGCCTTAAGATTTTTCTCGCCGAGGAATCGGCCGAGGGTGCGGGAGACGGAGGAGAGTTTCAAGTCCTTTCTTGTGGAGGGGGGGGATGATGAAAAATATAGCAAACAATCTTTCAGCATGTTTACTTGGAACGTGACGAAGACAACATTTATGTCTCTCACGGCCTCTCTTGAAGAGTTACTTTACTTTTTTTTTTTTTTTGGATGGATCTATTTTTCTGTAAAAAAGAAAGAAAGAAATGAAAGCGCTTTGTAAAGGTAGTTGCCAGCTTCAGTAGAGGAAAAAAATTAAAGGTGCAAACATGGAGACCTTCAAAGAAGGAATTAGAAAAGGTTTAGCCTTTGATGTAGCTTCCCTTTAATCGAAGTCGTCGCTTTGTAAAACGCATGCATTTGAGCAGAGAGGCCAGACATGTTTTTTTCTTTGTTTCTTTTTACCTGCAAGATATTTTGAATGTTATCCAAAAGAGAAAGCCAAGCAAGAGAAAGCCAAAGCATGAGTTTGGATTTACAGCAGCACTTAACTCCACTTAGATGGCAAGCCGACAAACATTTCACGTATTGGCCCTTTAAGACAAGGCGCCCAATACCCAGTTCAATGTTTACTGATTTACTCCTTCACAGATCAGGTGTGTGCCGAGCCCATGCTTTGCCGGTTGGCAACTACCTTGGTTACTATTGTGAGCTAAACATCAGCCATGTATATTGAATTGAATATATTTTGAGAGGCAGTAATCGAGTATTGTCTTTGTTTGTATTTTACATGTATGATTTTCGCATCAACTTGTCAATTCTGCAACGTCAGAAGTGTGTTTGGTAAGCGTGTCCACTCCTTTTTTTTTTCTTTTTTTTTACTTTTTACTGTATAAAATTATTTTTCTAACTTTTTCATCCATAGATTTTGTTCTGTGTTTTTATCCGTTTTCTGAATAGTTATAGGGCTGCCATTCACGTCCTTAGTACTGTTGTTCTTTCTTTCTTGTATTTATCAGAACTAAGGAGCAACTCTTTCTTTCTTTCTTTCTTTCTACGGCTCCCTGAAGCCTTTCTGCATTTTCATCAATGATGTATTTATAACATGTACTGTTTATAGGAGATTTGTATATGGAAAAATTTATAAATGTACTCTAAACTAATGACAGCTATGATATTGTGAGCAAAAAAAAGAAAAGCAGTATGGTGTAAGATGTTACTCCATGAACTTTGAAAAAGCAGCATATTTAACTCGTCATCGACTGCACTGTTTTCCAGTGGTCGCTACGCGGCACCGCGGTTGACTTTTTAAACACCTACAGAGTCAAGACATTTGATCACTTTGTTGCCTAACATTTCCTCTGGTGCATGTGCGACATGCGCTTACCTTTCAACTGTGATAACACCCAAAAAACAAACAAAACGACGTTTAGAGGCCACCTTATGTAGCTAGCTGAGTTTTCTGTGGCGGGAAAAGAAAAGAAGGGGACACCTATGTCAACGAAAGGATTTCTTTCTTTTTGTTTTTCAAGCAGCTCGGGATGGAAAACATCAGCCAATCATTTCAAAGTCCTTCTCTAAGCATGTGTGGCACTATCATGTCCGTGACGTCGGTGTTTCCTTCTTCCTTTTCCTGCTTTGAACTGACCTGACACGAAGAGTAGATCGAATACATTCGAATGAGCCCCCATCTGTCAACTGCTTCGTTAAACACCTGATTAAAGACGACTGTCATGTTTATTTTTAAAGGGACTTTTCATCCCCCAAATCAAATGAGCGTCTTTTTCCTCTGGCCTGTAGTGATTTATCCAGTCGGATTGCTCCGGTGCGAGTTGCCCATTGTTGATGATATCAGCTGTAGACATTCCTGTGGCTTTTGAATATAATGGGACTAAAAAGAAGTTTCCTTGTGCTGCTCAAAAAGAGGAAAAAAGATGACCCACTTATACAAAATATCCACAAATCTTGCTGTGAGGAGCTACATGTAGAAGCTATTTTCTTTCCACCAAAATACATCCACCATCTAACTGTGATTAGGCTTAGATGCCGTAATGCGGATGTATTTTTGCCCTCGCTATTTTTGTCAGTGGAGACTCGGGAGATCTGAGTTTCTGTTCTGACCCATTTCTGTATAAAAGGGCAACTTTTTGAGGTTTTGGATGTTACAGTTTAGGAAATGATTAAAACTAATAAACAGGGGCTTACGTTCCACGGGTGTTAACACCTTACTGTTGCAAATATGACAGGATTGACAGGAGTTCACAATCAAAAGTCAACAACTTCTTTTTAGCTGATTTCATGTTCAGTGGCTGTCCTGACACTAAACGAACCCAATATGAGCTTTAATACTATCTGCATACTTCTTTTGGCTAGCGGATCTAGTCAGTAGAACTAAATTATACATAAAATATCCATGAAGACGTTTGATTTTTGGAGGACACGTTGCTGAGTTTTTAAAATAAATTTTATGTCTTTGAGCATCACAAGGTGAGTCCCATTTTTTTTGAACCCCAATTGATTTATCAAAACTTCAACCATAATTATTTGCCATACTATTAGTAATGGCATTTATAACAGCCAATAAATGAGAATTTTAAAAAATAAAGAAGAGAAACACCCTTCACCAAGTTATGAGTGTTGACATTACATAGTGTGTCCACCAGAGGCCACTATGCAGCGCCACAAAGACAACCAGCTGGTTTGAGCATAGTTGGGCAGAGCATAAATTAGTAAGTACACCCCCCCAAAAAAAAAATTAGGGTAAATTTTTTTGTTTGTCCAAAAGAAAAACGTATATTGGTATATCACAATATCGGATTTTCAGATCACCAAATGTTGGTATCAGTCTTAAAAATCCTTTATCAGTCAGGCTATGGCCAGAAAAGGCTGAGTTTTCTAATCCCAGCACAGTCGGGCAGAGCTTAGACAAGTAAATACATAAGTACACTTAACAAATTTTAGGGAAATTTCTTTTGGTTTTTTAAAAGGAAAAAAATATCAGCCGATATCTCAAAATATATACATTTAAAAAAAAAAAATAAATAAATATTGGTATCTGTCTTAAAAGTCCCATATCTGGCCAACTCTAGCCAGAGAAGGCCCAGCTGTCTACAACCAAAACTGGTCCACTTACAGCAGAATAATAGACGTGGATGAGCAGTAGGACAGGCCAGAGGAAAGAAATGTCTAAATTTGAGTTGATATAATTTTCTAAACTTGTAAGATTTGCGATTAAGTTGATATTTTTCATCTCTAACCAAACATTCCACTTGTTACTTGCTTAAGTTGTAGATTTTTTACTACTCTTTCTTTTTTTGCTGTCTGCTCGCGCCAAACTTTAACTCTTTGCATGGTTTGTGAGTCAGCATGCCTGCTTGTCTGTGTAACAAAAAGTGTATTTGCACAATAGAAGAAGAACACTGGAGGACTTATATATTTAAAAAAAAAACATAAAACAAAAACAAAAAAACCTCCCTTGGCAGCTCCCAAGAGCACCAGGAGGGATGTTTTTTTTTTCTTCCTCTCTGGTGGGCAAACAATTCAAAGGACTTTGTCCAAATGACTCCACTGAGAAACATTTACTATCATTCTTATTGGATAAGTGATTTCAAGCACTTACGACTTGTATGAACTGTGTTTGAGAGAAACGTGCTCTGCCAAACCTCTGCTACATTCAGACCTTAAAGACGCTCCCAAAGAATGTTCCTCTTTCAAAGATTTCTAAACGGGCACTGGAGAAATCAGTTGAGAAAAAGGTTTGGGGGGGGAAAAGGGCATCGTCGTTTGATTGTCACACCCACCTCGGCCAGTTCTATACATATATATAACCACTGTGGCTCAAGAGCAATTCTTGGTTTACATGTAAATGGATTAAAAAAGTTATTTTTTGTTTGTTGTTTGTCTCTATTGATGAAAAATGTTATCTTTCTTTGGGACCTACGCTTTGGACATTTCATCTCTGACATCATCTATAAAATATATTTCTGAAAAATACGAGCGGCTCCAGTCGTGTTATTGGTCGGTCATCATTGACAGCATTGGGGTAACTTGTTGCTACCTCGTGAGGTTTTGACCTCAGTGACCAGGATTCTGGACCTAATCAATACAATCATTGGTGTCTGGTCACGTTCTAGCTGATGATGTTCTTTGATCACATAACTGAAATGATTACTCAGTCTGTGATAGTGCAAATCAATCCAAAATAATCAGTAGTATTGGTTTCAGGGCATCTGCAGAGCAGACAGTGGAGTCATGCTCTTTCTTGAGCTGAAAAATTAGCTGGCCACCACGTGACGGCAAGAAAGAGCACCACGAGAGGCATAAAGTCTCAGATGACTTCTCTCAGAGTAGTAAATCGAATTACAAAACCCAGTGTCACAAGTGTGCAGGCTGCATTTGGGCAAAGGCCAAGCAGTCACTATCAGCTGTGGTCAAACATTTAAGCATTTAGTCTAGAACATGATTTAAACGTCAAAGTTTGAAAGATCAAAAACGCTGATAAATAAGAAATCTGGCATTCATCTGATTGCATTTGTGTATATAGCTTAGAAGCAAAATGACGTACGGGGTCACAGGAATAAAAGCTCGTCAGTCGTCTCAAATCATCACGCGGTTTCTGCTCCATCTCTGGTTTGCCTAAAACTTTAATACTGCAAAGTTCAGATCGATCTAATCACTGCTGATAGATCGATTTTGACATATTTACTTTTATGTACAATATGTTTTTATTTGCACTTGTTGACTTTTAATAGCTTTTACTATTGTTTAAAAACTTTACGTGAAATATTGGATTCCTCCAGGGCAGTGTAAGTCCAACAACAGTAGGTAGAGTAGCTCTCAAAACTGAATATGAATATGCAAACATTTAACAATATTATTTATTAAAATAGTTACCATTTCCAGAATTCTGTTCTATTTGGATTCAACTATATACTGATATTTTTGTTTTTCTGGTAAGGGTTGTCATATTTGCTCAATCCAGCATGAAAGTTGAGTGAAAATATAACTTTATTCACTTTTGTGATAAAATATTTTCTCAAAAATATTCTATATGCTTCATTTTGCATGCTTGTGAATTGCAACGATATACCATTCAAAAATTATCACTAGTTTTTTTATTTTAATTTTTATTGGTATGTTTTAATAGGTGTGACTTTACAGGACAGCTTGAATGTTTAAAAATATTTCATACTCAGCTATTTTTCAACGTATCTGTCCCACGTTACACATCCCACAAACACCAGTGAGAATTCCAGGCTTTTATCTTTAATAGTGTCTGACGTCAGTGTCGTTTTCAAACATTGGCTCAGATTTTAAGTCAGAAAAAAGAAAAAAGAAAGGTAAAGGAGTTGGATGGACAATTTTTCAAAATAAATAATCTAGAAAAGTATTTCATATATAAAACTACAATTTCACAGCAATTATTATGTTTGTTCAAACGCTGAACCACATTATATTTGGGTAAATCTGGGCTCGTCGAGTGGAAAATGTTGGAAAGATGTGAGGATTTTAGATGGATTGAGCCTTAATGAGAATAGTATGAGGAAAGGCTTTCGGGTATTAATAATTAACAGCGAATTTAAAAAGTAAAGCTTGTTTCTCTTGGAATGAATAATAGCTGTGTAGTTATTAATTCATAAGAATATTTAACAATTAGTTTGGCACATTATAACAGCATAAAAGCTGGGGCGTTTTACACTACGATGCTCTCGACAAACTATATATATATATATATA